AGAATTCAGGCTGAATGGATGGTACTAACATCTGAGAATGCCCTAGTGAACTGAAGGAGAGGACTAGCCACCACTCTGTGATCTATATCTGTTCCCACCACTGAAGTCAGATGTGACTGCTCAATATTAATTGGAGCAATATCTCAAGATAAATATGCCTCTACTTAAGCATAAGAATTTAATTTTTGTTTTTTAGTTGTCAATGGTCCTTTTTTAAAAAAAATCTTTATTTTTTTACTTGTGGATATCCAATTTGGAACTTGGATTTTTTTTTCGGTGGGGGGGTACTGGGGATTGAACTCAGGGGCACTCAACCACTGAACCACATCCCCAGCCCTATTTTGTATTTTTTTTAGAGTCAGGATCTCATTGAGTTGCTAAATGTTTGCCATTGCTAATGCTGGCTTTGAACTGAGCAGTTGGGATGACAGGTGTGTGCCACCGCTCTCAACTGTCAATGGCCCTTTATTTATATGGGGTGCTGAGAATCAAACCCAGTGCCTCACACAGGCTAGGCAAGTACTAACTACTATCCCAGTTCCAAGCTTAAGGATTTAAAAAATCAACTTGCATTTAGAAATAGTTCTTACTGGTTGAATACCTACTATTCTGTGTTAAGACATTTACATACAAGAAAGGATGGTGGAATGTGATGGACATCATTATCCAAAGTATATGTACAGAGACACGAATTGGGTGTCAACATACTTTATATACAAACAGAGATATGAAAAATTGTGGTATATATGTGTAATAAGAATTGTAATGCATTCTGCTGTCGTGTATTAAAAAATAAAATCAATAAAAGACATTTACATACATTATCACATTTGAATTCTTGTAAATAGCATGCTGGAATAATAACTAGTAACATTTTTAAAACCATCACTATACATCAGACTGTACTGACATCTTTACATATATGTCTCATTTAATCTCCACTATACTATTATTCTTCTTTAACAAATGAGGAAACCAGATTACAGTCAAGGCAGGAAATATGAAGCCATCACATAATTAATTGCAATATCCCTTCAGGGTTTGTTCTAAACAGTACACATAAATGTCTTGCTATAGGGAAGATGGACTGATCACCGCTAGTTTACCAATGAGGGAACTGCAAGTATTTCAAGACCATACTGTGGCCAAGGTAGTGGTGCATATCTGTTATCCCAGAGGATGAATTCAAAACCAACCTTAGCACCCTAAGCAATTTAGTGAGACCCTGTCTCTAAACAAAATATTTTAAAAAGGGGTGGGGATATGGTTCAGTGGTTAAGTGCCCCTGGGTTCAATCCCCAGTAAAAACAAACAAACAAATCAAAACAAAACAAAAAACAGGCTATGAGGAAATGGTGAAAAGCATTATGGGAACTTGGGCCTACTTTACCCATCCTCCAATTGCCTTCCTGTTCTTGACAGCTCTGATTATATATGTCCTTCAATCATTTTCTCACAAGGTTTGAACTTTGTTAGAAATTACCAAAAGTGGTATTACTATTATTATAAATAAAGTCATGGAATTACGGAACCGGAATGATGCAAGGTTGAGACTCAAGATGAGCCAACTAGTCATTCCCACCTAATCAGCTGAGAAGGTTTCCCAAAAGTTGGGGTTTGACTCTAGCAGAGTCATTAGAAGCATTTCTTCTGGATTATATACTTTTTACTGTTCTGTGTTTTCTACTTTTTCTACAATGAGCAGGTCTTACTTTTTAAAGCAAATGTTCCCAGACAATACATCTCATGGTAAAACATTCAAACATACAAAACCCTTTCTTTAAACTCTTACCTTCCCTCACCCATTCCAATCTCCTCCTTAGAGGTGACTACAGTTAGAAGTTTAGTTTGAATTCCTTACACTGTCATATATGGCTATTGAGCACTTGACATACCCTAGTTGAGATGTTCTATAAGCATAAAGTACACACTAAATTCAAAATTTAAGCATAGAAAAATTTATATAGTTTCTGTATTGATTACATGTTGGAATGTAAATTAAGGAGACTATAAAAATATCAGTGGTTGCCAGGGATTAAGGGGTTGGGAGAAAGGGATGAATATGTACACCATAGAGAATTTTAGGAGTGAAACCATTCTGTATGATACTTTAATGGTGGATACATATCATAAATTTGTCCAAACCTATAAAATGTACAATGCCAAGAGTGGACCTTAATGTAAACTATGGGTTTTGGGTGATAATGGTCTTAATGTATGTTTATCAATTGTACCAAATATACTAAGGTTGGATAATGACACTGGGGAAAGCTATACATATGCAGGGGAAACAGGTTTGTGAGAAATTTCTGTATCTTTTTTCAATTTTGCCACAAATCTAAACTTGTTCTAAATGATTAAGTCTTAAAGAAAAATATTTTGGATATATTAGGTGAAGTAAAATACATTATCAAATTAATTTCACCTGTTTCTTTTCATCTTTTTCACCTAGCTAACAGAAAAGGTGGTGCACATTTAATTTTATTGAACCATCACTGCTCTAGAGTCTAGATAACTTTGGGTTTTTACATATTCACATGTATACAGAGAACATATAGATTTTTGGTGTTTTCTAACTTAAATATGCATTACTTTTATCATTGGACTTTTTTTAAAATTAGAGTCTTTAAATGCAGGGGGCATTAAATTAATGCTTTCTTCCTGTCTTTATCTTCTTTATGATCCTTACACTTCTTTTATATTTCACAACCTACAAAGCCTTAGAATGAAGGAAACATAGTTATTCTTGGATACAAAAATGCTGAAGTAAGTACATTTAATATGTGAATTAAATCAACATTGGTACCCCTTGTTGGATAAAGAAAGTGCTAGTCAATGAAGGAAGGCTTTGGGCATTAATGGGTCATGGACAAAAGATCTATGAAACAATGCCAAAATGACCTGAAAAATTTTTTGTAAACAACTATATTCAAAGTTTCTGTTCTCATCATGTTACCTCTTTTTCTCAAACATTTTTTTGCAGTAGGTATAGTTCCATTATTTATGTTGGGTGACCACTCTCTGCTAACTATTTTTTTTTTAGTTTGATCTCTACTGCCTATGAAGGATCATATCGAAACAAAAACCTCAGTTCAGCCACTGAATTTTGACAGTTGCTGTAAATAAACACTGACATGTATGATTGATGTGATCACTATTTTGCTAAGTTATCATTGGTTGAAGTAATATTTAAAATATTTTATAATGTATCTAATAGATTTTATTCTGAGAAAACACCTAACATTAATGTCCAGTTAAGTGGATTCTACAAAAGAAATTACCCAAAGCAAGCTCCCTGTATCCCCTGCTTATTAATAAACTGAAATACGTAAATAATTTATATAGATTGCACTGTGTAAATAAACTGGGAACACATATGCATGCAGCAATTTCTTGTGTCAGGCTGGCACAGTGTTTATCATGTTCTAGCAAGGTGTTAGCACATGCAACATGAGCAGCTCTTACTTGGGCTCAGTGTGGAACCTCCTTGGGAGCAGAAGAGAGAAAAAGAACATTAGGCATGAGCACAGGTGCTGTGAAACTTATTATTTTAATAGCTGTGAGTGTTCCTTGGTTCTCTCTCCCATTTGCATCCCTGTAGTTACATGTTATCTAGATGGAAAAAAGAAAAACCTGCGACTGAAAGCCCGTTTATACCTTTTCTCACTTGTTATTATCTAAGACACTGAATGGGGACCTCCAAATTTTTCTTCTTTCTTCTTTCTGGTAATTCTCTCAATCTAATAAACCAAGTTTTTGTCCCCCAGATTCCATGGGAWCTGTATTAAATGCTCCATATTGATGGGATATCTGAAAAACATTTCTTTCTTTCTTTTCTTCCTATATCTCACCATATTTTCTCCTAATTCAAGAAAGAATATAGAGATAGTAGAACATAAACAAAAGCTAGGGGTATACAAAGATTTTTAACTTTTCTGAGGTTTGGTAAACATTTTGAAACTTAAAAAAATTCTCCTTGAATTAGGATTGACTTCCTCTGAGTAGATACCATCTGCTGTAGCAGCCCAACCCTGTCTGATCTTCCCTTGCCTAGGCCTTGGCAGCTACAGGTGAGTAGGGCCCCTTTCTTTCCCACACCCCTCCCCAAGAAGCTGTCAGGAGCCTCTGAGGCAGTATCCAGCAGGCAGGAAATGGGTTGGGGTTGAGGGGGTCTCCACCCATTAGCAGCTGTTTAAGCAGTAGGCAGGAAAACTTTTCTACAGAAAAATCCAGGTTAGCAAATACTCCAAAACAATTTATACCACATGCTACCCAGTTGTGGAATTGAATTAAAATGCTAAGAAAGCACCTGGAATGCTAATTCCCTTGTTTTCCCTCACTTAGTGCCTGGGACCAAAAGAACAAAACAAGAACAGTTGGACTTGGTGTTTTAAAGGGAATTATTAGGCAACTAGAAGAAAGTAAGGGCAGCACACACCAAAGAAAGCTGTTTATTTGGAACGTCATGTACCAATGATTACATGTTAAGACCCATCATTGTTCAGGTGGCGACATCTGCACAGTCTTAGTAGGTTGCTCACTTAGATTTAACCCAAAGACAACTTTGACAGATTATCAAAATCTTTTGGTGAGGGTGGTAGGTGGAGTGGGGAAAGGAGTGAGGTAATTCTGAAGAATGACTTTGATTTTTAAAAGCACARTAGTATTATCATCTCAATGGTTCTGCTTTAGTCTATTCTAGTGCAATATGAAAGAGAAGTTTTGCCAAATGTCAGAAAAAAATTTCTAAATAAGTCATTTTAGATTACATTCGAACTCTAAAATAAAAACATATAAGTATGTGTTTGTCTATCAGATCTTAGTGMATTTTGTTAACACTTTCCTTGTGGAAGATATTTGAATTTTTCATATACTACTTTCTTAGCAATGATTAACTATAGCTTTAATAAGTGGATAAGAGGTGGACCCATAATTTATTATGTATACTTAAAAATAAGACTTTACATTTCTTAACAGTAGGAAAACATTAAAATGGTTACCTCTGTGAATGTGTTCCGATTAGCTTGCAAGCCAACTTTTACTACCTCAAAAGGGTTAACCACGATGGCTTCTGTTAGTCCAGATCCCARTCCAGCAATGGCAAATGTCTAGAAAAATTAAATCCATCAATTCTTTAAAACAAGTGATCATGTGTACTAGGTTAGGTATCCTATTCATTATACTACGCAGCTATGTTATGATGAGAATGGAGAAGCCTATGTAAGTGCACCATATACCATTACTAAACAGCTTTAGTTCTTGATTAGATGCTGACAATTCATGAAGAAGAAATTACAGAAGCCACAAACCACATCCTAACAATTTCAAAATAAAATGTCAAAGCCCCATCAACAATGACTTTTTCCTTTAACAAAAGGCAAGATTATTTTACTGATTTGAGGTGGATACTAAAAACATCTGCACTTATAACAGTTAAAGAGAGTTTAAATTGTAAAAGGAGAGCTTCATTTTTTAAACATCTATTTAAATACTTTTATTGAGCATATGAAGAAATCTAAGGAGCAGAACCACAAATAAAATGTTTATAAAAAGCTAAATTCCAGGTAGCTGGAAACATTCAAATATATAGTCATGTTCCTAGAGTCACTATTTTAGACTGTTAATAAACAAAAATTAATTTTTATTCACTTTCTCTATTTAAAACAAAATAAAACTGACGATTGCCCTATTTCTCTGGACTTAAAACTGAGAATAAAAGCTAAGATAAAAARTAGCTAAGTTGTTCTGAAGGGCCCAACTAAAATTTAGAACATTTATCAAAAAAATTATCATTGGACTTTTTTTTTTTAAAATTAGCATCTTTAAATGCAGTGGGCATTAGATTAATGCTTTCTTCCTGACTTTATCTTCTTCATGATCCTTATACTTCTTTTATATTTCAGGTTCCTAATTGCTGTGCATTAAAATAGAGGTACTTTGTATTAGGCAGAGGGGAGTGAGGGAAGGGGAGGTGTACAGGGTAGGAAGATAGGGGAACRAATTAGACATTATTACCCAGTGTACATATGTGATTACACAATTGGTATGATTCTTCATTATGTATAACCAGAAGAATGAGAATACTATATTTACATATGATGTGTCAAAATTCATTCTACTGTCATGTATAACTAATTARAACAAATAAAAAAGGAATTCCAGAAATAATAATAATAATAATATTTTTATGGAATTTTCTTCCAAGTATAATGTTAAGAGTTTTCCAGAAAAAAATTATATAAAAAATGACCATGACAATTAAAACTCACAGAAAACAAAAACACAAATATAGAAACAAAATCAATCAAATCCTCTATGTCTCMAAAATAGATGCCAGACAAAAAGTAATTCTTTGCTATAGAACCTCTACTTCCAGGAGAAGAAGTGGCACGTATACAACAGAAGAATAAAACCAGTGAAGAGTARAGAACATATACTCTTATTAAGGGTCTCTAATATCTTCAAAGAGAAGGGAAAAAGGAATATTCTCTAATGTTAGAGGGGCAGATAAGGTAGAACAAGGGCTGGATCCAGACCTGTGAAAGTGAGTTAAGGATTTGGTTCTGCCACACATTGGCTGTATGACTATAGCTTCCATGGATTGTAGATAAAATCTGTACACAGATAAAAGTGCTCAGCAATGGGGTATATGGAGGCTGAAACACAGCCTGTACCCTACTTTCCAAGCCAGACCCTGGACAGACATTAGTCAGGAGGTAGGGCCACCTTTTCATGATTCACACAAAGGCACCATGTGTGCTAGCTGGGGCTGCCTATGAATCTTATCTTTGATAAGACAGCTTTCTCATCTGTAAGATGAAGATAATAATATCATACCTCAGAAAGTTATTATGAGGGTCAAAACAATGTGCTCCTTGAAAGTGCTTTCCAAACACCATTGTTCTTGTTGCATATAAAAAGGGATRAAGAATGGTATTGCATATAGATTCTAGGAGACAAGGCATAACTAATGATGTTTTCCTTTTATCCCACTTCATTACAATTTTAAGCATAATTTGTATAGGGTAACTGACCAAATACTTTATTCATTTATCTCAAACTTCTATCACGGAAGCCAAAAGCAGGGGGAAAATACCAGTCTCAAACTCTTCTGACTGGGAAAGCTAAAATCCAGATGTTCAGGGTTTTTATTACTTACTATATGCAATCTTCCAAGTAATTCACTTTTTGCTTCTTATATAATGCTCGGCTACATTTGCTGTCAGAACTAGTGTTCAGCAGTCCCTTGTCAAAAGAATTGATCAGATACCAGYAGATCATATTACTTAGGTTGCTGCAGAGACTTGAGTTTACTGTTGGGTTCCCAGTCTCCTAGGTTTTTCATGGGAGCACCAGGGAATATTTAATACCTAAGTGCCTAGCTGTATCAAAAAAGAAACTAGAATAAATGAGTTCAAGAAAAGAGGAGAACTGTATACAGTTTGCTTTGCATGCATTCTGTTATAGTAGCTGGAGTAGCCAACTGCTTTACTGTTTCAACTCTTAAGTCAAAGACCTGCAGTCTCTCACATGGAACCAATGCTCAACACAAAAATGCCAGCTGGCCCTCTGGAGGCCATATTTTATTGTCTTTTGCTAGGAAGTCTTTAATCCYCTTTTGGCTAACATGTTTACAAAGCCAAAAAATGACATTAAGGGAAGACACTGAGGGATTAAAAAAAACCAAAATCTTGATGTAATTTTGAGATTCATGGCATGACCCCTCCTTTCCAAGAGGGTGTGCTTCACAGCCACTTTGTTCAGGCAGAAGGTTGGAGAGGAGATTTCTTGGTGATAACAAAAAGCAATAGCTTTACATTTTTTAATGAGATCCCTTCAAGAAAGGGAGCAGGTATCATTTTTAAAGTAACAGAAATTTCTTCTTGGATCGTCTGTTTGGTAGAGTAAATATTCTGAAATGAAACTTTACAAGTAAAGTATAGATGATCTTTGATATACAATGGTTCAACCTACGAATTTTTACTTTTGTGCAAAAATGATTCATATTCCATATTTTGAATTTAGATCTTTTCTTAGACTAGCAACATGAAGTATTATACTCTCTCATTTTGCTGGGTGGTGACCATGTGCTGTGGCTCCCCATCAGCTATATCATCAAGAAGGTATAAACAGCCAATGTTCTATGGTGTACTTTGTTTATAAGCTATGATGATTGGTAGGCTAGTTGTATTAAATGCATTTTCAACTTATGGTGGGCTTATCTGATGTAACTCCATCACAAGTGAAGCAGCATCTATAATTGAAGAGTTGAACCTCAGAACATTGTCTCTTCTATTGAGTTTTGAGGCACATTTCACTGGGCAAGTGAGGATTTTCCTAAAGAATAGACTGTACATTGCTAATTGTAGCAACAATGCACTTTATTTTGCAGATTTTGAGGGAAAGATTAGTGCATTTGCTCTCTCTGGGGCTCTTGGTGCTCACACATTTGGCTAATATAATTTAACTTGYATAGGAAAAGCAGCAAAATCRCCAAGATAGAGAGGAGTGGCATRGGGAAATGTTCAAAACAAGTGAATTTCATGTAATATTTAAGGTGTGTTGTTATAAAATGACTATTCACCATGGCTAAGTTGTTTACAGCCATTTATATAAAAGGCCCTTCAATCTGTGCCTGACCAYAGAGTGATTTTGTCCTGAGTGCCTTGAAGTCCCATATTGGCTACAGCTTGAGCAATAGCTGGAATAGTGACCTGTTAGGCAATTTCAGGCATACTGACTTTTACATAAATAGATATGTGTCATATGTATGTAAACATATGCATGTTTTGGTTTTAAAAGAGTCTTTGATAAATGTACTCTTTATTTTATATTCTTGACCATATCTCATATAGGTCCTTCCAGGCATATCATTATTRTTATCATAAATTCATCACTGGGAGCTATAAAATAGTCAAATTGTGACTTATTAGGAAGATGGCTTTCAACAAGTAGCTGAACATTGAATAACTTGAATTCATATTTTAGTAGCTGGGCTTGGGGAAATCAAAAGGGTTTTTGTTTCTAGATTTTTGCTTTATGAAATAACACACACACTTAAGTATAATAAATACTCTCACTTACCAATGCTGGTGACAGTGACACATATCCTAGCAATTTCTTGTACTGCTCAAAGGTGAAAAACTGTGGAACAAAACCAAGCCCAGAGATTTATGACAATTTCCTGTAACAAACTCTTTAATTGACTAAAATTTCTTTGCTAAATCATTATATTAACYAGCATTTTAGAAAATGATAAGCCATATAACAGTTTTTAATCCTGTTTCGGGCAGTTGCTATTGAATCTTATTTTAACATTCACATTTTTCAAATGTAGTTATAATAACCTACAGAAGAGCTGATGGAATCCTTTATAGCAGTAAATGAACCATACAACTTCCATTTACCATGACCATTTTCAGTTTCCCCAGACATCAATAGACTTCTTTTTTATGGCAGTGATTCAAAATTATAGGCACAGAGACCTGGAGTCTTGGTCTCCTATGTTTTCTCTAYGAACTGCTTTCCCAGCAAATGTCCAATTTTCTATAACACACTTGTAAAAGACATTCACTTCTCAGACTTTATATTATATTGCTGTGTCTCTCTACTGTTTCATGATATTATTAAACATTAAATAATTACGAAGATGCCATGCTAAACTAGGGAAGGGCCCAATGAAGTTATATAGTCCATTCCCTGCCTTAAAGCCAAACTGTCCCCAACCTGAATGAAGACAGCTACTTATTCTTTTCTTTAAAATCTGATGAAGAAGATGATGATGATGATGGAGATGATTATCATGATGATGAGGATGATCAAGATACTATTAATTCCTTCAGAAGATGATGTTTAATATAATTTTATCTTCAAAGAAGAATGTTTGAAGAGAGAGATTCTTTTCTTAATTAGAATAAGTTATACTCCATATATATATAATATGTCAAAATACTGTCATGTATATCTAAAAAGAACAAAATTTAAAAAAGAAAAAATTCTATAAAGGCAAATCTAATCCGTCCCCTTCCTACATCCTAGTTAAAAAAACTATGATTAAACATTATTATTATTATTATTATTATTATTATTATTATTATTATTTGTGTGTGTGTGTGTGTGTGTGTGTGTGTGTGTATTTGGTGCTGGGGAATGAACTAAGGACTTTGCACATGCTAGGCAAAATGCACCTACTGAATTACATCCCCAGCTCCTGAACATGTTTTGCTCCTGGGTACTTAGTCGAGTAGTTCCAACATCACTGATAATGTATRCTCTTAGGTCCTGCTAGGTTGGATTCTTAAGACCTAAGAAATGGCAARGGAAATCAAATGTTTTCTACTCTATTACTTTATAGCCTAGTAAAATGGGGCAAGAAAGAAAATGAGATATTGGGGGCCAAATAATACTTGTTATTAGAAGGAGCTGGTGCCTTATAGACAAGATTCTTACTGTGTCTTTGGACAGCCCAAATGTCATTATACCACAAGATGAATTTTAATTTCTTTTAAAGACTCAGGAACTACGTTTGGGCCATGGTCRTTTAGATTAACTATAGATTTGGACTTTCTCAGAACAGGTTTCCATTTATTCACTCATCTAATGAATATTTACTAGATTCCTTCCATTTTAGGCACTGGGAATGCACCAGTGAACAAAGAGACCCCCTGTCTTCTTGATATCATACTCTAGGAGATGGTGATAACCCTGAAACTATACTGGTGTYAGATAGCATTAATGGAGACCACTGTTGGATGAGATTCACACTAGAAATCAATCATAAACTATGGGAGGAAAAGGGTTATCACCTTAGGTTTTAAATATAATTTATTTTTCCTCCATTTTGTGATYACCTCATCGCTATGCTTTGACAATCACTTTGCTGGAAGGTAAGCAATGCTGGGTCTGCATTCGAGCTGTGCCACTTAGCTTGAAAGCATGGGCAAGTTRTTTAACCTTTCTAACCCTCAAGAACATAAAGCATGCCTGTTAAGTGTTTCTACTGGGATTGAACCCAGGGCCTTACACATACTAGGCAAATGCTTAACCACTTAGCTACATCTCTAGCCCTAATAAGAGAATTTAAGTAAGATTCCCTAGCATGTCTGGCACATGGGAGACTTTGGAAAGGATTAGTTTCCATTCTCTGTATTCATTTAGGTTACTAAAGGAACCATAGATGCATTAATTATGTGTACTTCTCATGAGAGCCTACTGTGGTCCAGGAAACATGCTAACATCTACCTTTTGCATGTGAAACTATATAACCCATATAGCAATACCATCAGATTAAGAGGCTAGAATACAATCATGAGTCCCATTGCATATGGAAGCAAAGGACTGMGCTTATCCTTGAGTTAAGTCTAACTCCAAAGCTTCTGAGTACTCTTACCCCTATATTATATTTATTCCCTGCCACCATGATTGTTAGTGGTTTGGAWAAATTTTGCCCTTGGGTTTTCTTGCTGCTGAGGATGGAGTCTTCTTGCCTTCCATTACACCTGAGGTGGTCACACAGAACCTGGAAGCCCCGAAGTCCCATAGGGCAGAAGATTTTGAATTTTTTTTACCAAAAATCTGCATAAAAATATTTATCCAACACACACACACACTCAAACAAATGCACACATGCACAAGGGAGAGCATATGGTCTTAGATTTAAAACTGAAATGAAACATTACTATAAAACAATATTTACTTCCTATGGTAATACATTATTTTCTGTTCTATTTCTTTAAAATTTTTCTGGTTATGACCCACTGCATCTAATGATTTACTAAAATGAATCCATATCCCCTGGGTCATGACCTACAGTTTAGAAACACTGGACTAGGGACCTACATTAGGATAGGGTTACAGGAAGTTCTGATGACCTCACAGAAATCTCCTCTATCTTATTAGCTTCCAGTGTGAAGATGTATTTGTTTGTTGGTTGGTTTGTATTTTTTCTGGCTTTCCTTCATTATAAGGATGAAGGGCCCAAGGGATGTCAAGGGAGAAGTCCTTKTGAGGATTTCCAAGTCTACACCCTAGGAGCAATTCTAGGCATTTATTTCCCTATCTCTAAKGTTATTAAAAACCAAGCTAGACTAGTTGATTGGCACCCATTAGCAGTCATGATGGAACTTTTGGTGAATGACTAGGATGAAATGATTCAGGTTCCTGGGAATAAAGAAGCCTTATAGGTCACAGTGATAAATTGTTAAGGTACTAAATTCAAAAGTAATGAACACCTCACATATTCTAATAAGCAAATAGTACTTAAAGCTCTAAAAATGCATTTTAATTTTTACTTTTGCAACCAAAATATAGTTGTCTGGATACAAAATAAAACAATATCTATTTGTGTATGATGTCATGCATAACTAATTAGAACAAATATAAATAAATAAATAAATAAATAAATAAATAAATAAAAACAATATCCCCAGAAAGGAAAAACTAAATTTTTAAAAAATAGATTTCCAACAACAATAAAATAATATAAATATATTCATTGTAATTTGAAATCAATGTTCATTAAAAACATCCAATTATTCATCCATCTATCTGTTCAAGAAATATTTTACAGAATGTGTCTCATGTTTAAAGCTTAGGAGACTTTGTACTAGATTTATATCTTTAGGAACTAATAGATCAGCTGTTATTTTAATTCCTGTTAATATAATACTACTCCTTTATGGCTTTCATGATATCTATTTTTTTCAATTTTGATGATATAGTTACACAGAATAGTGGGATTCATTGTAATATATTTGTACATGCACATCACATAATCTGGTTGATTTCATTTCCCAACACCTCCCTTTTCCTCTCCTGCTCCTTCTCCCTAGTCCCATTTCTTTACTCCATCGGACTTCTTTCTATTTTTGTGAGATGCCTTTTTTATTCCTTTTGTCTCTATGGCTTGCACATATGAGATAAAACATGCTCTTTAACGTTTTGAGTCTGGGTCATTTCACTGAGCATGATGTTTTCTGGTTCTATCCATTTTCCTGCCCATGTCATGATTTAATTCCTCCTTACGACTGAGTAAAACTCCATTGTGAATAGAGACATCACATTTCCATCCATCTGTTAGTGGACACCTAGGATGGTCCCATGACTTGGTTATAGCAAATTGCATTGTTGTCCACACAGGTATGTATGTATCACTGCAGTGTGCTGACTTAAATTAATTTGAATAAATTCTGAGGAATGTATTGCTGGGTCATGTGGTGGTTCCATGCCTAGTCTTTTGAGGAACCACCATACTAATTTCTATAGTGGTCGGAGTAATTTACAATCCCACCAACAGTGTGTAAGTTTTCCTTTCTCTCTGCATCCTTGCCAGCATTTATTATTTGCACTCTTAATGATTGCCATTCCACCTGTTGTGAGGTGAAGTCCCAGTGAGGTTTGATTTACATTTCCCTGATTGCTAAGGATGTTGAACATTTTTTTCACATATATGTTGGCCATTTGTATTTCTTTTTTGAGGTACATTTTCTTTAGTTCATTTCCCATTTATTGATTGTTGGACATGATATTTCTTAATAATTTCTCAGCCAAAACATTAGCTAAAGCATAGACTGACAAAAGTACACAGTCATATAAAATATGAGGTTGCACTMTAGATATGAAATCCAAAAGGTCAACATAAAGTTCTTATCAAAGTCAAGCAAATGTATGKCTAAAGAGTTTTGAAACCATTCATATCCACTCACATCAAGTACAAAATTAATTTTGCTCTATATAACCTATAATAATATGCAGAAATTGGTGATCTGGCTGGACTTATTGACCATGTCCTTCCTGGAGAAGTGTCACACTGTGGTAGGACAGAGGACATGGGTACATTGGTACATTCTACTTGGCTAAACCAGTTCTCCATCTTCCCCTTTGTTTTCAATTTGTGCAGTTTGAACCGTTTGAGTGTTACTTTTAACAACTGGGATCTGAGTAGTGCTCAATTTAGGGCTAATTCTGAGGCACGATGCTTCTAAATATCCTTTCAATGCCTTTTGAATTTTGATGCTTTCTAGTTTAGCTGGCAGGTACAGGCACTACTCCCAGACCTGTGTGTCTGCTAAGCAGTGTCCCTCTAAAACTCTTGTGCAGTTCTTTCCCAAGTCTTGGCGGTGTCCTTACAGGTGTGCACTGGTCATATTCAGCTGAATACTTGAGRGGGAACCTTCTGCAATCTCAGGAGTTGTCTTCCTGCACAGCTTGCTCTTGGCTGGTACTCTGTCCTGTGAGCTCTAGCTCCTTTGTTCTTCCCACTCTCTCAGCTCTTTTACCACCCAGGGAGTCCACTGGGGTCTACTTTTATTTCCCCTCCCATCTTTAAGCCTGTAAACACTCTCAAGGTTTAAGCTGTGGTCATCACAGGGCTCATCTCATTTGTTTTAGTTATTACTACAATTCCTTGTCTGATTCCAGTGTCTTGAAAGTTGTTGTTTCATATATATATATATATATATATATATATATATATATATATTCATTTCTGTCTTGTTGTTTCAGGTGGTAGAGTAAATCTGGTCTCTGTAACTCCAGCTTGACTAGAAATAGAAGTCTTGGCCCTCCAGATACTCAAAAGAGTTGATATGGAGATTTGGGTAAACAAATTCTCTCTCTCTCTCTCTCTCTCTCTCTCTCTCTCTCTCTCGACTTCTTTCTATAAATTTTCTTTGTTTCTTTCTCTGTTTAATTCATTCAATTGAATATTTACTATGTGTAGACATCATAAGTGTGAGTATATCATAGAGAGCAAATATCCTTCACAATTCATAATATCTCATAATATGAGTTTGGTTAATATAAAGTAGTCTTTGAAAATCTGAACATGGAAAAATGGTATTTATGGACCTGTGAAGTTAAAGACTAAACCCAGGAACCTGGAACATACTTCTCCTATCTCTGAGATCAGTTGTTTTCTTCTGAGATTTTCATTTCCCTTTTCTAATTGCAATACTAATTACATATTAATTTGAGAATGGGAAAGTTTCATTTATTTAGCATCAGTGAGTCTTATTATTTTAATGATAAATATAATTTCAAAGAATAAATTACAAACTTAAAATAGTCTGTTTTTGATTATGGTACCAACTGCAACTGAAGTGTCCACACTGAAGAATGAATACACAGTGCATGCATGTATGGACACATACACACACAGAGTATCAGAATATTTTTTTTTCTGAAGTAAACTTTGATGACATACAATGAAGCAGTTTATGATGTATGAAATTACTACAATCAGGTGATTGCTTTCCTCACAAATCCTAAGATAAATATCTATAAAATGAATGCTTTTATAAATTGTGTTGAAAAAACTAGTGCTATCCATCTGGCAAAGATACACTTAACTCCAAGTTATACTTAAAAAGCCAACGGACTTACCATATGTCTCAATAATTTTAAGGTAAAATCTACTTGAAACAAGATGTCTGGGACACATACACTATATCCAGTTGCCCAAAAGTTCATCTGTTAACCATTGTTCTGGCATGAAACACTGCTTCTTTTTTATTTTTATTTTTTTTAAAGTACAGACTAACTCGGTTTTGTAAAGCTTAACTTTTCGTTTTTCCTTGTGAAAGATTGCTCAGTGTTGATAAACTTTAATCTTCTTAAAGTTTAAATTTTCTTTAATATATGGTATTAAAAATATTCCAGGAAAATCTCTAATTATAATGTACTTTATTTATACATGCAAAATACTGAACACATGAATATATTATTCCATGGAGACAAAGTGACTTTCTTTTTGAACAGGAACTCTGCTCTGTTTGTTTACTTGGGCAATCTTTTATCAAGTGAAGCCATTTCATAATTCAATTCAGCCCTTTTGTGTACTTTGGTGAACTTTTTCCAGATTCTGTATTGCAATTCAGGTCCTTATAATGAAATTTGTATTGAAGTAATAATATAAAATCACAAAACTATAGCAACAAAGAGGAAAAATTTATAGAGAAAGTATGTTTTAAAGGTTTGTTTTCTGAATTCTCTACCCAAATTAAATTCTGCCAAATTACTATTTTAACATAGTGTAAAAGTTTGATGTTTGTGTATATATGTTATTTCATAATAATTTTAACACAGTAATTCCCTTCTCTTATTTAGTAAAAGTTTTTAAGGTGTTCCTTTTTGCCTTTCAGGAATATTGGGAACATAAATTGGGAATGTGAAAAATCTTTATGTCATTAAGATAAATGACACAAAGTTGGAAATATGTCTGTATATGTTATTTTTGTTGAAAGACAAAGCCCTATTTGGTTATGTCAGTGCTGGGGGTAAGGGAGCAATGCCAGTCAGTCACTGTAATCAGAATTTTTGTCCGAGAGAACATATAAAAAAAATGCAGCTATAGTTCTTTAATCCTAGGAGGCTCTGGAACATCTTTCTGCTACTAATCAGATATTCAACTTGAAATAGTACATAAACCTCCACAGTTAAGTGATTAAAGAAATGGAAGTCTGGGCAGTGGAAATAATAATTTTTAAGTACCAGAATGGAGAACTTTAAGAGGAGACTAAAGTTAAAAATAAAGCTGACATGCCAAATAAATATGCTATAGAAGAATCATATACAAAGAAATACAGTCTATTTTATAAGATGGGAATGATTTGGGGAAGAAGGTTTTTCTACTTCTCTTTCTTTAATAATTACTGCTCCAAAGGAAAATGTCTGAATCGCTTTGAGAAAAGGCCCAAGCTATTTTGTGGTTTCTGTGGTTTGATTACATGAATTTCATTCACCACTGTGTCCTTTGCATAATTTCCTCATTAGAAGGGAGTACATTTACCTGAAAAAAAAATCTACAAACTGATACATATATTTGAGAGATTGATCAAATCTAATTATAATAAACATTGTGCTATAATTTCTGMATTAAAGATTTTAGTGTTTTATGTTTAAGTCTTATTACTTTCCCCTTGTTTACTGTGGGATATTTTAATGCTGAGGCTGTTACTACACCTTATTTTCACTTGGTGGGAAGGCATACCATGCTTACCTTCACTGCTCTTTTTGGTGTTTCAGCTAAGATGGGTGGCAGAATTCCCTTGTAAAAACCAAACAACCTGTTAGAGAAAAAAAAATTAATATAAATAAGGGAATTAGAAAATAGGTAATTCCACCGTTAAATCATAAAGTCTTCCTAATTATTTACCAATCATGAAAATTTCCTTTGTTTTAATTCTAAAGATATGAATTCTGTGTTTCCTAGRATTACAATATTGAGAGAATGAATAAATGACACTGAGACTGGAATCCCTTAAGTAAATTGCTAAATATGACCATGAGTTATACCTTCAAGGTGAAATTGACCCTTCTCACTTTAAAGAATCTTGAATTAATTTATCTTCTCAGTTGTATGGTGGGTAGCTTCAAGCTGTCAACAGTCTTGCATTTCTTMCCTTCTGATAATTCAGTGAGGTTAGGGCTACTCCTAAATTCCCTAGACTGAACTTTTTTGAGGCTAACAAGGTAATGAAATCTTCAATTTTAGTTTTAATAACAAGCTCTGTGTTTATGGGTCTATGGTATTAGTGCTTCCAGTCCTGTTCTGAATTAGTCATAATTTTTCTACTTCCATAATGGAAGTAGAAGAGTTTCAGGAAGGGCAGTTAGAATTTTCAAACTCCCTTGCTGTTATGCTGTCTAGTAGGACGCAGGCCAGCTATCATTAAGAATGTTGAGGGGTCCAAGGACATAGATTCAGACCTTTATAAAAGAGAGAAAGGGAAAAACTACAATGAGTGGTATATGTTTATGATTGGATTTTTTAAAAGTCACAACTTATTTCTTATTAGATTTTAGTATTCAAAATTTTAAATTTCTCTGCCCAGGAATCTTCATACACATGCCATATCTTAATTTTAAACCTGAAAATATTTAAATAGAATATTCTGCATTGTTTTCTGAGGTAATCAGTTATCCTGACAAGTCCATAAGTGACTACAGATTGGGCCACTTTTGGTTTTTAATTGGTCCTGGTGATTAAACTAAGGGGCACTTAAATACTGAGCCACATCTCCAGCCATTTTTATTATTTATTTATTTATTTATTTATTTTAATTAAAAAATTTAGTCGTTAATAGGTCTTTTATTTAATTTATTTATATGCATGCTGAGGATTGAACCCAAGGCCTCACACTTGCCAGCCAGGCAAGCACACTCTACCACTGAGCCATAACTCCAGCTCCCTCTTTTTAATTGATTTTTTAAAACAAATAAATGA